ACCCACTGCATTTTGAAAGGTCACAGTTTCTCAGTTCTGACTTTTAAATTACTGGACACCTGAATTTTACACTTACAATCATTTTTTAAAAACTAATTATTTATTTATTTATTCATACAGAACTGGGGTACAAGCCACAGGTGAAGGGGTAGTGAGAGGATCACCAGAGACAGAGTGGGGAGCAGAATAGGCAGATCGACGAAGTACACTGCTGAGGGGAGCAGCGGGCGGGTCAGGAGAGGTCTGCTGCGCCATGTGGATCATCTGGGGCTGGGGATCGAACCCCACTGAAGTGACTGCGGCTCGCTGGCAGTGCTGCGTCCTAACCTGTCACGCCACCAGGGAGGGCCCACTCTTACAATCATTTTTGTTTCAAGATGGTCTTCTACTCACCATCCGGACCTAAAGGAAAGACTAGGTAATGCTATATTTGCCAAGGTTGTATTATCAACTGTCACCACACATATTTTAGTTCTTGTGCTCTGATCTTAAGTTTGATATCACAGATCTGGATAATGACTAGACAATGGTAAGTAAGCTATGCTCTTAATGTTCCTTTTTGTCTCATTCCCCTTTACCCTCAGACGATCCAGACACTGTCATGTGGAATTATAAATTAAATGTGCCAACACTTTGGTTTTTGGAGAATTATCAGACCTTATCCTAGTACTAGTTAGACCATCTTCAAAGCAAGAGAAACTAAAGGACTTCATAAATGGTAAAGTCTCTTCTGACTTTACCCCTCCCTTCACTTATTTTTTCTCCAAGAGCTGGACTGTTTCATCTGTTGCTTATCTTTTCTATGCCTTCCCCTGACCCTGACAAGTGCTCGGAAGCCCAGGAACTATATTCCCAGAATACAAAGCCAGCAAATACCTCAGTTTAGACTATTCTGCTGGTTCCAGACAATTGAGAGATGAGGTGGGCAGAAGGGAAGTAAGCCCCATTCTCCGCCTAGCAGCGCATCTGAGGTTTGGTGGTGGTGTCTGTCTGTTGTTTCTCCACAAACCACCTGCCTCAGGAAGCAGCTGCCAGAAGTTCCTGAGTTGTGTGGCAACACTTCCCTGAAAGTTAGCAGCAAAGTGGAGAGCTAAGTATGGGCTTCCCTTTCCTTTGTTCCTCTAACTTTTCCAAACTTATTTTAAATACCATCCTGCTTCACGTACCCATAGACATTTCCAACTGAAGACTGATATATTTCTTTTCTTAATTTATGTAAACCTCTAGTCAGGCCTCCACCGGACGGAGAAAAATAAGCAGTGTGATTTAGATTATTAGTGCTAGATCCTTAACTCATACGTCACAAGTTGGTTTTAATTCCAAAAATACCCTGTTAGGTGATTTCTTTTCCTTGTCTCCAGGTCATGGAGAATTCCATGTCAAAAATCCTATAGTGGACAAAGATTAAAAAAAAATACAATTTCAATGTCACCACAGTTCCAAGTTAACACATAGCTAGAGAACCACGGCATCCCTACATGTCCATATTTAATATCTTCAGTTCCCTTTTACCATATTGCCCTCAGATTACTGCTATGTCTATTTATAGTTTTGTTCATTTGTTTAAGGAAAGGACTTTCTGTTGGTTCCCCAGCACCCAGGAAATGTTCAAAGATATGGATTAAATTAAATGTAAAAATAAATGTATGGTTTCACATTTGATGAAGTAAATAGCAGCTCACACATTTCAAACATCCATTCATTTTTGGCACACAGACAGTTCCGCAGGCTCTATGGGTCTCCATTTCAGTTAGCAGTTCCCTTTTATTCCAGAAATCCATTTTCCCTTTCATGATCATGGACTGATGATGACACATTCCACATGTGCCTTACATAGATTTTAGATGGTTTCCCTAGGTGACTCAGGAGACTCTTAACACGCACTAAAGCTTGAGAACTTCGGCAATAATTGAAAACAGAGCTTCTATTCTTTGAAAACTATACAAAGAGTGAAACCCAAAAAATTCAAAGCCAGTGTTTTCCAGGATTCATATTTGGTAAGTGATATTCAGAAGTAGATGTAGAGCCAGGAAGGTCTTATAGGACATTCAAGCCCCTCATTTAGGAGATCAACAATTATATCTAGAACTTCATAGGCTGTTTAGAGTAAAGCAGAAATCAAAACCCAGGTTGCCTGAATTTCAAGCTAGTGCTTTCTTTAAAAAAAAAATATTATTTTTATATATTTTACATCATTGTTCATTTTTGTTCAATGTTTGCTTTCTCAGGTGTAGTCCCACCCCAATAATTCCCACCCCAATTCACCTGTGCACAACCACCATATTCCTTTGTGCTCTTCCCTCCAGTTCTGATCCCTCTGTCTCTCCCTCAACTACAAATACCTCTGATTTATAGTTGCCTGCCACTTTTTGTTATTGTTTCTTTCCCTCAATCCCTTATTTGGTTCTTCTATTTCCTCCTATAAGTGAAATCATCGCTATATTTCATTTTCCTTTGGACTTATAAAACTGAGCATGATTCTGGGGCCCTCCCTGGTGGCGCAGTGGGTTAAAGCACTGCATTAAGAAGCTTAAGCCACTTCTGCATGAGTTCGATCCCCGCCTGCCCCGTAGGAGACCCACATGGCGTGGCAGACCTCTCCTGACCCGCCCTCTGCTCCCCTCAGCGGTGTCAATCTGCCTGCTCTGCTCCCCACTCTGTCCCTGGTGAATCCTCTCACTCTCCACATCTCTGGCCTGTACCCCAGTTCTGTATAAATAAATAAATAAATCTTTAAAAAAAAAAAACTGAGCATGATCCCTTCCAGCTCCAACCATGTTGCTGCACATGGCATGAGTTTATCTTTTTTGATTGTTACATAGTATTCCATCATGTGTATATATAGTACTTTCTCAAGGCCTTTGTAATGTTATTTTGTGGGAGTGGTGAGCTGAACAACTCAATGTATACTGGAAATACTGTGGCCATGCATAAGTATTAGCATACTTTTCTGGAAGATAGCAATAGAATTCTAACTAAATTAGTGTATTAGATAATTTTCCAATCAGTGCAAGTAAAATGTTCCTTGAGGAAAGGATCAGATTTCCTAATATGCACAAAGATGTAGCATAGACCCAGGACTCATACAGAATGGAGTTTCTCATCTCAGTAACAAATACAATACTGATACAGTTTATGGCATTTATACAAACTTGGAGCTGCTGATATAGAAAAATTTTATAAAGTTTTGTTGCATAAAATTGCAACTCTAAAAAGATGTCAACAATAGAAAAATATAAAACTGGTTGACCCAGTGATTTGTTAACTGAGTTCACAGATTGGCATGCAGAAGTGCTGCATTCTATGTGTGACATAGTGTTACATTCTATACTAACAGTGTCACTCAGTTGTTAGTGACATGCACCAGAGCCTCTACGTGTGATTTCAGTGGCCAGTGTGCTTTATTTGCATGTGAAGTATTTAGTACAGAAGTTATACATAGAATGTTCTGAACCCTTGACCACTTCTAATAGTAGTTTGTCATTTCTTCATTTAGGACAGTGCACACTCTAAAAAGCACTAGAGAGGATACCTTAAAAATAAATAGAGCAGCCCTCCCTGGTAGTGCAATGGGTTAAAGCACAGCACTACAAGCTATCTGCAATCTCTTCTGGCCAAGTTCGAACCCCAGCCCTGGAGGTGACCCACATGGCATGGCAGACCTCTCCTGTCTCACCCTCTCAGCAGCGTACTTCATCCATCTGCCTGTTCTGCTCCCGGCTCTGTCTCTGGTGAATCCTCTCACCACCCCTGCACCTCTGGCCTATACCCCAGTTTTGTATGCATAAATAAATAAATCTTTTTAAAAATGAGCACCATTCTCATTGCATACCTTCCTCAATGACTAGAGGATTAAATGACCTAATAAGCATAAACGGATTGCAACCTCAGCCTATAGACACAGCACACCCTGCATCTACCCTGCAGGAATCTCCAGGACTGTGCCCCACCCAGACATCATGCTGTTGTTGCTGACTTCAACCAGTTTCTGGCCCTGGACCATCCAACCACTCATGTGCTTAGGGTGCTTATGAACCAAAGGCACTGGAATTTCTAAATTTTTATTTAATATTTACAAAAAAGCATCAAAGTACTGATTATGAGAGAAACTATAGCTTTGTTGGAGCTTTATACGTGACTCAGGATGGCTTTTAATAAGAATTACACAAATGACATAATCATTTCAGTGCCTAGAGCCTCTGTCTATTACAGACCTAGGTTTACTACCATTTACAAAAAAAAAAATCACCATGAGATTTCAATATTTTATTTCCAAAAAATACTTCTTTCCAAAGGCAAAGTTACTCTCTACGAAGGCTTAAATTCTCCCACCAAGACAAGTTCATCCCAACACCTTGGATGATGCCACAAATCTAAGAAAATTAAATCTTATTTGGCTAGGGAACAGCCAACATGAGTCAAAGGCTTGTCTGGAAAGATTTAAAGTTTAGAACCATCATCTCAATAACTTGCAGAGAAGCTCAGGGTCCTAGGACTTGAGGAGAAACATCCTTTCTTCATTTTTTTTTTTCTGACTAAGCTGTGTTTGCTATGTTTCTGGTAAGCATGAGACAGCTGGCACTTGTCATGTCTAAATATACACAACTTCTCTACTCCCGCACCATCACTGAGATATGTATGTGCATAAAAACAAAAGCTATATATCTCCACCCGCGTCTCCACAGTTGGATCCCCTCCAGACACCATTCTGAATATGACATTCTGCTGCAGGGTACTAAAAATGGTGCTTTCCTCAAAATAAAACCTTTAAAGATCCCTTAGTAGCTATTCAGGGACTGGAATTCAATTTCAATTCTCCACCCTTTGGCCAGCTGTAGATTCCGAATGCTTACATAAAACATTGAGAGTATGTACTTCATGGCAAATCTGATTTTTCTTGTGCGATAGATATGTGTTCTGAAGTTACCACAAACCATATTTTTACTTAGAAAACACACAAAGCAATAATACACCTCAATAAGCGAGAATGGGTTCTTTTTTTAAATTTTATTTTATATAGAGCTTTGATGGAAGCATCAGATAGATGACTTACTATACAGAATTTGTGAAATTTACACCTTCAAATCATAATACTCTATTTCAGGTCATTACATTTAAAAGCATGACTTTTGAAATCCTTTTATTACAAGTAGTTCTTGCACACAGATGTTACATCACAATAGCAAAAAAAAAATGTAAACTTCTTTTGCAAACTACATAAATACTATATTTGCCTTGAAGTTATTCTTATTTTAAAATCAGAATATACTCTAAATGCTTTATATAGAAAATTCTGGTCAGTAGCCTCTGTGTATGGAACTTTTTTTTCCTTTCTGACTTGCCTTTCATGTTGTCTAGTTGGTTCTTTGAAAGAGAAAAATTAAAAACAAAACAAAACAAAAACCCGGATCAAAAGTAAGACAAGGATAGAAGTATGTCAATAACCATGGGCAAAACAGAGATGTGAAAATTGTTCCACATACTAAATCTGCCAAGTCACCAGGGGTAGGGAGGTAACTGAAAATAAAGGCTCACATTGAGCTCAGTTTAATCGTATATGAAAGGAAATCAGTCTGATTATCAATACACCTTTTACTCTGCCTTATGTCTGTCTGCAAAGGAATCACCTCTTTCTCTTTTTGCTCAGGGCAGAACCTGTCATCTCCACAGCAATCACGCTAGAGTAAGAGTTGAATTAGTTCACCAACACTGTCCTCAGTGTCTTTGAATACCATGTGGAAATGTATAAATATGTAGGTGTGTAATCCACAGCCACGAGCATACAAGACCAAGTGAAGGTCTCTTTTTTATTTCAAAAGAAGTTTGAATAGTTACTTCCTGTTATTACCTCACATCTCTTTCCTCAGAATGTTCTTTCAGTTAAAAATCAAATTCAACCTGGAGTCCTTATTGATTTGTCACTGAGATTCCTATTGAACACCTAACTAGTGGCCGGGCTTCTTTGAGGACAAAAATACCACTGCTAAAGCATTTTTTAAAACTGCATGCAGAAAGAACTACACATGCATTCCAAGCAGCTACCTAAAGTGGCTCAAGTGACATTATTATTTATTTTGACCTAAGCCCTGTAAAAACATCCTTTTAAAACACAAAGAGCACAGCTACAAGATGGCGGCTGATCCCAGCATGAACGGAGGGGCCGACGTGCCACGGGGCCCTCAGGATGTCCAGCACAGATCCCTTGCGCCGTCTTCCCTCACCCCGCGCGTTTTCTCTAAGTGCAGTGTGTCCTCTCTACCACCTGTGCTTTTACACTATGTAAAAACTGTTTTTTTTTGTTTTGTTTTTTTGTTTTTTTTTAATCTAGAATGACTAGCTCTGACCTGGAGTAACACTGTGTGTGGGCTTTGTTAGAGGCAGGCAGCCATCCTAACAGCTCTTGGACAGGGGGCCGCCACGCGTGAGCTCCGGAGCTCAGGAACTATCCTTGTTGCAGGTGCTGCCTTGGGTGATGCTGTCTTTGTCTTCCATGTACTGGCTGCCAGTGTCACTCCTGCTGAGGACAGTGGAGGGGATTCCTGAGGGGCGCCTCTCTGGGTTCTTCTCCTGGGAGAAGCAGCAGATCATCTTCTTCATGGTGCTGTACATGTCCTCGTCCTTGTAAGAGTAGATGATGGGGTTCATGACCGAATTGAACAACGCCAGCAGCAGAAACCACCTTTTCACGTGCTGCACGCTGCACTGCTTGCAGTTCAGGCCATCAAGCAGAAGAACCACCAGGCCTGGGGTCCAGCACACCACGAAAGCCCCTGGGGACAGCAAAGGAAGCAACAGATGTTCAGACTACTCACATCACCTATTTCGGTTTACTCCTGCCCAGTCATCTTCAGTGGCATCGTGGAGCTTCAGGATGTGTGTTGAAGACTGCAAAGCAAACTTCCACTTTCCACCTGAGCCCTGGAGACCTCGGCTTGATCTGGGCACACACCTGCAAGCCTCCTTGACTATTAGCCACATTCCATTTTACCCACTGGTCTGCTTACCTGGGTCTTGTAGTTAGGGGCTTACTATGTGCTTACTAAACTCTATAGCTACAGTACCTCTGTGATTTCACTGAGCCCCACTAGGCGGCTGTTGTGGTTATTATTCACATTTTATAGGTGAGAAAATCGAGGCCCAATTTGGGGGCTTGTATGAGGAAGCCTCGAACACTTAACCCTGCACTCTGCCATTCTCTAAATAGGTTTTCCAGATGCTTTCCTAAAAACAAGACATTGCATCTGTGGCATTCTCCTAGTCTCTCAACGAAGTCACCTCAAAAAATATTATTCTAAGTCCATATTGCTGTTTAGTTAACATTGTATTCTTTTTATTTAAAAAAAATTATTTATTTATGCATACAGAACTGGGGTACAAGCCAGAGGTGCAGGGGCGGTGAGAGGCTTCACCAGAGACAGAGTGGGAAGCAGAACAGGCAGATCAACAAGTACACTGCTGAGGGGAGCAGCGGGTGGGTCAGGAGAGGTCTGCTGTGCCATGTGGATCACCTCCTGGGTGGGGATAGAACTCACACTGAAGTGGCTGTGGCCTAACCCATTGCACCACCAGGGTGGACCTATATTCTTTTTAACATAGTCACAGGCATCTGCTATACATTGAGATTTTTATGCAATCAATTTAATGGGTTTGTACAAGGTTTTTTCCTTCTTTATATAAAAACAGGATGGAATGAAATGGTTAAGAAAAGTATTGCTTCATGAAATTTTGTTTTGGTTTTACAAACTGGATTTATGTGTGTATTGATTATGAAGTAAAATATTATTTCTTACTGTTGGGCTTACACAAAGAGTTTGAAAAATACCCGCTTACATAATCTTTAAGGCCTCATCCAGCTCCACTGTTCTGTATCTCTTATAACAGTAACACGTTTGTTCCTAGGGTATTCCCAAGAGAGAGTTACTACAATGTCAAGAGGGAAGAACTAAACAAACTAGACATCAAAAGCTGTTGCTACCAACTTTGATGTCAAGAGTCCTTTCTGTGTGAAATTTTATAACTCTGAAGAAATTCCAGTGGGATGTTCCAAGTTCTTTTTCTAATGGGAAGGTGGAAAACAAATTAACTCTATTCTGTTAAGTATGCATGTCAAAATTTAATAAAGTCTGTAACTTCCAAACCAATGGGAGGGGAAAACAGAACAAAAGTAAAAAGGATATCAAGACAAAAGAGAGGGAGCAGGGGAGAGAGAAACATAGAAAAATAGGACATATAAAGAACAGAATAAGATGCTAGAAAAAAAATCAAAAATTCAGTTACATATTTTTTAAGTGTTATTCTTTGAACTCTGCATCTATTTTATATACTTTTGTTTTAATGATATATTTCACATATTCATCAAAAAAGGATAAAGTAAATTTTCAGTATGTTTTTCTAAAGTTGATATATTTTAATCATAAAAACATACGCCCTGGGCCTTCCCTGGTGGTGCAACGGGTTAGAATGCAGCACTGCAAGCTGGCGGCAGCCGGTTGGGTGTGAGCTCGATCCCCAGCCCCGGAGGTGACCACATGGCAGGGCAGACCTCTCCTGACCCGCCCGCTGCTCCCCTCAGCAGTGTACTTCGTGGATCTGCCTGTTCTGCTCCCCACTCTGTCTCTGGTGAAGCCTCTCACCGCCCCTACACCTCTGGCCTGTACCCCAGGTCTTTGTGAATAAATAAATAAATCTTTAAAAAAAAAATCCCTCTGACATAAAACTCTGGTTTGTGTTAGACAGAGTTAGCCACGCTAAATAAATCTTGAAATTGGTGCCCTGTTTGTCTTAATGTGATAGTGCATGTATATTTTCCCACTGCACTGAATTACATAAGAGTAATTCATTCAATCAACACTTGACATACTTGTCACTGAGCAATTATTACATGTGAGGCACTATTCTAAGCCTGTGTATAAATTAATTTTTTAAAAAATTATTTATGCATACAGAAGTGGGGTACAGGCCAGAGATGTGGAGGGTGAGAGGATTCACCAGAGACAGAGTGGGGAGCAGAACAAGCAGATTGATGAAGCATACTGCTGAGGGGAGCAGCAGGTGGCCAGGAGAGGTCTGCCTCGCCATGTGGATCACCTCAGGGGCAGGTGGGGATCGAACTAATGCTGAACTGGCTTTAGCTTCTTGATGCTGTGCTTTAACCCGCTGCACCACCAGGGAGGGCCCATAAATGAATTTTTTAATCTTCATGGAAACCCTTGGCAATAGGTCCTATGATTACTCTCCATTTAAAGCTGGGGAAACTGAAGCACAGAGAAGTTAGGTCCTATGCTCCAAGTCACTCAGCTGGTAAGTGGAAGGGTTTTGAAGCAAGGGAGGCAAGTACCAGGCCTGGGCTCCTGCTAGGCTGTTCTGCCATGAGCCACAGAGTACCTCATCACTGAAGTGAGTAAAGGGGAAGGGTAGGAGAGGGACTTCGTATTTTTACAATCCTGTTCACAATATGTCCTACATGGAGGTGAAGTTGCATCTATTAAAATTAAATCATTCTTTGGTGTCTTAACAAATTTAAATAAAGGGAGGGACGGTTGGTGGGAGAAGAGGTAAAAGAAGGAAGAAAGGAAGGCAGGCTTGGGAAGAATGGGAGAGGAAGGGAGGAAAGGAGGAGAGAATTCCAACAAATAAATAGACTGGCTATAGGATGAGAAGGGAAACAAAAATCTGCTGACCTGACCTTTATACTCTTTCCAAGAACAACAGAAGGTAACTCTCCTTTGACAGACCCACCCAAACACATTATGCTCTTAAAGGAAACTAGGCCCTGAGGCCATATTGTCTAGGGTGATTACACCTAGCAGTGATGGGTGGGGGGACCCCCCCCTCTGGAACTGCCCTACCCCCCCAACCCCCACCACATTCTCCCCACATACACATCTCAGAGTGGATGCGGCTTATCTAACAGTTCTTTCTTAGGAGGGGAGAGTTGTTTATACTGTACATCAGCAGCTGAAATAATGAACCCCCCCAAAAAAAACACTTAAAGGAGAAGTGTCAAGAATGGCTTTGACTTTAGAAACCTATAATCATAGAGAATTCTTGGAGAATATGGGAGAAACAAGAACAGGCAACTGTCCCAATTCTTAAGAGATGGGTAGACAATGAATCCTGGAAAAGATACATTAGTTGGCCCCCTATCAATTTCCAATAAATTATAGAAGGAAAAACCAATGCAAATGTTTTTTGAGTAGTAGGCTGCTACATGATATTGATTGAGCCTGAGTCACTTACGTATTCTTCAGGCATTAACACATAGCAGTGGATTCAAGGGGGTCTTTCTGGGACCCAGTGGAAGATAAGAGGATGTTCCCCTTAGAGAAGAAAAGGTTAAGGAAAGGCATGATGTGATGCTTCAAAAACCTGAGGAGGATGCACAGACTTATCCTGGACCATTCCAGAAGGTTACCTTGGAACAAATAGAAAAGCACTGAGAGGCTGAATGTGTGGATAAATTCTTTTTAAGTAAAGGAAGCTATTAGGGAGAGGAACCTGCCATTCACTGGAACCAGTCTTCTGGAGCCAAGTATTTCTTTGCCTGGATCATCGTGAGATATAAAGAGAAGAGGTTTGTTTATTCTTCCCTTAATGCGAGACAGGGTTAAGTGACTTCTTAGAAATCTTTTCCAACTAGAAAATTGCTAAATTTTATGAAACTCTTGAGTTTCCACTTTAACATTCAAACAGATCATGACTGTTGCCCAGACATGATTATTAAAGCAGTAAGACTGAAAACTGATGAAGATGAATTCTATGAGCTAGCAATTCCCATGCTTGCTTGGTCGTCAAATCAAATGGATTCGCTAGGGTGGGACATGGGACTCTGTAGGACAAAAAAGTTCCCTGGCTGATTATGATAAATGACCAATTTTGTAAACCTTTTTTCTAGGGTCACCCAAAATGATTTAATCAAGCTGACTCTGTCAGCAAAATTGTAGGCTCATTATAGAAGCAGTGAAGAGTCATGGCAGAAAGGGGGAAGAGTTCCTTAAAATGGGAAAATAAGCATCTCCAGAGATTAATACCTTTAGCATTGTTTGGAAAATGTATTTAGAAACATAAATACACGTACAAACATTAGCACAAAGGCTAGCCTACAGGCCAGGCACACACAGCCCTTCGTCTGCCCTTTGCTGGCTCACCCTGCCAGGAACGCCTTCCCACCTCTTAGTCTAAGGTCTACTTTTCTTTCTAAGCTTAGCTCCTAGTTCGCCTCCAACATCTGCCCAACCCACAGTGACCATTCCCTTCTCTAACAGCAGTGACACTTTCACCTACAGCATCCACGTGGCAAGGGCCATGCCACCTGCTTCATTCCACTCTGACATTTCTCAATGCTGCCTGTACCAGGCAGCATGCACAGGGGTTTACATGAACCTCTTATTTAAAACTCCCAGCCCTGTGAGGTTCTACACTTAGTGCCCTCAGTCTTTCTTTCTTTCTTTTAAAGATATATTTATTTATACATACAGACCTGGGATACAGGTCAGAGCAGAGGGTGAGAGGATTCACCAGAGACAGAGTAGGAAGCAGAACAGGCAGATCGATGAAGTACACTGCTGAGGGGAGCAGCGGGCAGGTCAGGAGAGGTCTGCCGCACCATGTGGATCACCTCCCCGGCAGGGATTGACCTAGCACTGAAGAAGCTGCGGCCAGCTTGCAGTGCTGCACTTTAACTCATTGCATCCCCAGGGAAGACCCCCTCAGTCTTTATTATGACAGATTTGAAGTCAAGAATGGCTGAGCTTAGAGTTTGTCCTAGATG